ACATAAAATTCACCATGACGAGCATCCAACCAAAAGTTACCAGGCATTCAGAAAAACAAAATAGGACCCACAAGTAGAAGTTCTAGGAATTAAAAATACCTACAATGAAAGATGCACTCAGTGGACTTAGTGGTAGATTTGACATTGCAAATTCAAACAGCATTGGAAACGACCCACAATTAAGCAGAGACGAACACTGAACTAAAACATGAAAACTTCAATGTGCTTTGATGCATCAAATGCCCCATTATAAGGTGTAACTGGAGAGAAATAATTAGTGGGGGGATTGAAGAGATAATGACTGGAATTTTTCCAAATTAAATTAAACTATACACCCACCGATCCAAGAAACTTACCGAGTCCCAAGCAGAATTATGAAGAAGTAACCAGCGCCTGGTGCATAACAAAACATCTTTCAGTGCTGTCAGCCTCACTGTGTCAACATTCTGTCACCTCTATAAAATCCCTTGGTTATAAACAATCACCTCTTCAGGTCCTCCAACCAAGCCTTCCCAAAACTGTGTGATTACTGTTCTTAGACTCAGCTCATCAACTCGCTGAACTGCTCAGACTTTCAGTCGTTTCCAGGTGTCCTTCAAAGAATACCAAGGTACTTAAACATGGTACTCCGGGTTGCCCAGAACCTGGCTCCAAACTCTCTGTAGCGTTTTCCCACAATTCCATTCATGCTTCCTCTCACCAGGTCACTAGGCTACTTACCATTTCCTGTGTACAGGTCCTTATGTTGTCACCCATTAGGCATTTGGTCATGCTTAAAAACGAACATTCTTTGAAAAAAAATCTATCCACAGCCATGTTACTAAATCTTACCCTCCTTTCTGTGTCAAGTAAGGAAATGGCTTCTGTAGAGAACCCTTCTTACTTATCAACCACTTGTCACATCCATTTCCCCTCCTGGGGCCGGAAGCATTACCATTCTCCCATAGGTCTTATCTTTCCCACTGGGTTATAAACACCTCTTGGCATAGTTAATGTTCTGGAAGATTAATGGGTGAATGAACTTTGAAAGGTTGTGGATGGATTGGATGGATGAATGGATGGGTGGAAGGAAGGAAGGATAGGTGAAATGGAGCATGTATTCCTTATTCAGGCTGTGAATTAGTCAATTGAGCTGGGCATTGTCTCATGCCTATAATTCCTGCTACTCCAGAGGTAGATCAGGAGGATTTGGGTTCTAGGTCAGCCCGGGCAAAATATTGCAAGATCCATCTCAATAAACAAGCCAGGCATGGTAGTATTCATCTGTAGAATCCCAGCTATGTAGGAGGCATAGGTAGGAGGATTGCAGTCCTAGACTAGCCTGGGCAAAAAGCTAGACTCTATCTGAAAAGTAACTAAAGCAAAAAGGGCTGGGGGTGTGGCTCATGTGGTAGAGTGCCTTCCTGATCAACACAAGGCCTGAGTTCAAACCCAGTACTGCTGAAAAAAAGAAATGGTGACTTAAGGTAACGGAATACTTTTTGAAAACCTGGAAAAGTCTCTGAAGCTGTCCCATTTTGAGCACGGACAGGACAGGTCACAGGTTGAAGCTGCATCTTAGCACCATGCTGGTCCTTCCATGGGGTCTGATGAGTTGTACGGCAGGCAGGGAAGCTGACCTCATCTCTCCCCAGCAGCTCCACTGGAGCCAGTGGCTCTTGGAGAGCGAGTGAAAATGGATACACCTGTGTGCCCCTGCTCAGCCTGGTGAAGCCGGTCAGCCCTCCTCTCTGGAAATAAGCTTGGAGGAACCCCATCCCTCAGCATTAAGCACTGGGAAGCTCTTTTACTAACACATATCAAGTTGATTTCTTCCAGGCAAGGGAGGAGCCTGGCTCTAGCCTACAGATAAATCCAATTGATTTACCACCAGCAAGAAACTGGGGACAATACTGCTCCAGTTCTTGGGATTCAAGCAATGGATCCAACTTTTCTTAGCACTACAGCCAGTACCCCAGGTGGATACGTAGAAATTGTCTTAATTTTCCATTGATTTCTCCTGAAGTCCTGCCTTGGGAGGCCAAACAGCACATTGCAGCCAGAGGGGCCTGAGTAACCATGTTCCAAGCCCAGCTTAGGCAGTCAGCACCACCTCCAGGCCCACCAAGGTCACTCAGCCAAGTGGCAGGACAGCCAGGCCCAGAGCAAATGGGTTAGGAGCACAGGATGGCTGGTGGAGTCCTTACCATAAACCTAAGGGACTGTTCAGGCTCCCATCTGAACAGCAGCTCCACTTAGCTGGGTGCTCTTGGCTGAGTTTTTCCATCCATAAAATGGAGATAAGTGCCTGCCTCCTGAGGAGGTTGTGAGGGCAAAATGAGTTTGTGTTTAAAGCACTTAAGAGTTTTGTCTGGCATCCAGTGAGCACTGTGGGCTATAGGATGATTGCATGTGTTTTCCCACAGCTGAGCAAAGCTGCCTGCACCGTCCAGTCCCAAGTGGCTCTTATCTCAATGCCACAACCTTCAGCATGTCTCCCTGCCTCCCCCTTCCCATAGGCCTTTCTAGAAAGCCCTGCACAAGGAAGCCTGCAGCCTTCTCTCCCCTGGATAAAGTTGGAGCATAGTTTGTTTACCTGACCATGGAGAGTCCTTAAGCTTCAATATTAAGCAGTATAGTTCAATCAAAAAGAATTATTGCTTTAAAACATCAACTCAGGCTGGGGGCATGGCTCAGTGGTACAGCATTTGCATAGAATCACAAGGCCCTGGATTTGATCGCAAACATCACAGAAATAAAAGTTTAAAAAGGACTGGGGAGGGGAGAGGCTCAAGTGGCAGAGAATCTGGATAGTAATCTTTCTAGCAATCCCCGAGTGCAAACCCCAGCACTGCCAAAAAAAAAGATACTCATATTGCCAGGTGTGATAGTACATAGGAGGATCACAAATTCCACACCAGCCTGGGCTACAAACAAAACATCAACTCCCAAAGATATCAAAAATGTAGTAAATTTTCTGTAGAAAATGAACGTAGGTCTAGCAGAATAGTGGATGTGCTGGCTACCACGTCCATCCTATCCCCCGTCCTGAAATGTGTACACAGCATGAGCCCTGGGCTGCTGGCCTCACCCCGGACACAGACACCTCCTTCTCCAACAGTTCCCCACATCTTTTATATTCCTACACTACCAATCTCCAAATTGAAAAAACCAAAAAAAGGAGAGAATCATTTTTCCTTCACAGAAGAAATTCTTTTATTTCACATGAGAAAAGTAAAGGAGAAAGACATTCTTTGCCTGACAAAAGTGACTTTTTCCTTGGGACTCTGAGCCCAGTTTGGTGACAAATGTTAAGGGCCGCCTGTGGCTCTCAGCCAAACAATGAGCACAAACACTCAGCTAGTTAAGCACTTCATGATCAAATGCTTCTGTACCAAGGTTCACAAGTTCATCTTGTCCTAAAGATCACTTTGGTCTCTTAAAACACTGAATGTTGAAGTTAATTTAAATATGCTAATTGGATCCTGGGCAAATTGGTTTTTTTCAGAGAAAACTGAGAGGAGATAGAAACTAGAAACTATCTCGGCACTCCTCTTACATAGTGAGATCTTTTACATTTCCAGCTAGGCCCAAAGGTGTCAAATGCTTTGCCCATCCCCCAAACTCAACATTTGTGCAGCTGTTTTCCTCCCAGTGCACAGCTCTCACAGGCCAGTCAACAGCCACCTGGCCCTCCCTCCTGTGCTACAGCAGGCCAAGACAGCAACTGCTTTCTCTGATTCCTCACCTGTAGGACCCAGGGTGGCTGGCAGCAGCAAACCTCAGGCCCCATCCTTCCTCACCTTGTGACAGGTGTCAGGCCTGTCACAGCCAAAGTCACCTTGCTATGGTTTGAATAGTCTCACAAGGGCCCATGTGGTAAAAGGCTTGGTCCTCAGCTAGGCACCATTGAGAGGTGGTGAGACCTTTAAAAAGTGGGGCCTAGTGGGAGGAAATTAGGTCATTGGGGTGTGCTCTTAAAGGGGATATTGGGACCCAGCCCCTTCCTCCCTTCCTCCCATTCTCTCTCCCCAGCTCTGGCCTCTTCATTAAATGTCTGCTCTTCTAACACTTAGCCACAAACTATACAGACGTTTACTACAGGGGCGTCACCCAAAGAGAAAGGACTGAGCCTCCGTGTGGTTCCTAAGAATGGAGTCAGGGAAGTAGCAGGAAGAATAGTGTTTCAGGAGCACAAGGGCTACTTATCTCAGAAATGCTGGCCTGGTGACAGCTCAGCCTCAGAAGAACACCTTCATGACAGGTACACATCCTTCTTGCCACACGCTGGCCAGCAAGAGCACCTTCCTTCCAAGACGCCAAATGGGGAAATCCACATAGCTATTACTGAAGGGACACTCCTCATGCGAGACTGGGCGATGGCCTGTGTGTTGCTTTAAGACCTGCCGATGTCTCAGACTGAATCACTCTAAAAGTACAAGGAACAGAACTGCCATTTAGTCAATAGTATGGCAGTTTGAATTTGGGGCCTTTTCAATTCTAGAAGTGGCATGAGGCAAATATGAAGTAGGGCTTATTACAACTGTAATTTGTCACTCTCTACAACAGCTGACATACAATACTATTCCATAGCACCTTTGCTTGGAGACACAGGACACACTTCTCAGAGCTAGTCCCAATCCCCACTCCCTCCTCCTTAGCTGCAACAGGCAGGTGGTCTAAACCAGCCTAGGACTACCTACACCGCAGGTCCCTTGGAAGGCTGTATCTCTCCCTCTGATTGTGATCAACTTAGAGGCCCAGGCAGGACTACATGGAGGCATTCCACTAAATATCTTCAAGAAACAGCCTCAGTCACATGTATCTGTCCTGCTGCATCCCTTTGGGTAAAAGAGTCTGGGGTGGCGTAATTTGGGATCTTGTAGCCTTGGATCAGGCGAAGCAATTCCTTGGTGTCAGTGCCACTGAGAACACCATGGTAACTTCCAGAAACACATCCACACATCCCAGCAAACAAAATGCAGCCTCCCTCCCCAACCCTCCCACCCCCGCCCCCAGCCCAGCATATAACCAATGACAACGGATGCACACAACTGCTAAAGCAGGGCTGGTTCTCCAAAAAGAAGAGCTTAGTTCCCAGCCTGCGTGGTCTGGCTGAGCTGGCTGTCTGAAGAGGTTAGGGTGGCACTGGAATCGCCACCCTGGGGGCTTGCCCTGGACCCACACTCAATGCTATGGAGCCACTGGGGACACCAGTTGTGTTGAAGGTATCAGGGGTTTCCCCTGTAGCTTGGATCTTAAAGTAGACCAAATAAAACACTGGCAACACAATCCCAATCAGAAGCATGATGAAGACAGCATTCCACCATTGCAGCCCGCAGTCTGCCCCGTCTACTGGCGTCTTGGGAGGTGCTGGAAGTAGCGGCTCATCCGGGGTCTCCACGCAGCAGCTCTCACTTAGGAAGATCTCCGACTGCACTGCACGCTCAATGTTCTGGTCAATCCCCTTGAAGAAATCTGTCAGCTGGCTGTCCTGTGTGTCCGAGTCTACACCAGCAGCTGCTATGTCTACATCTGGCAGTTCCACGAAGGTCACTCTGGTGTCTGAGGATGGGCCTGGGAGGGGTTTCAGTTCTTTGTGGCTCTCTGTTAGGACTCCATGGTTTTTCACTGGAATCTTAATAGATTTCAAGGCATACAAGTCTTGTTCTCTGATGAAATTGTTGGCTTTCTTGATATCTGCGACCTAGAAAAGCCATGAAGACATACACATCAAAACATGTGAAGCTCCCTAAAACCAATACACAACAGTGGCCTTCAACCTTGCTGGGGGATGAGCCAAGTACACCCCAACTAAGAAGCCAGTGAAGGCCGGAAAACCACACCTATACCAGGCTGGTTTAGGCTGAGTTAACTGGTTTGGGGCTCTTATTTGGCCTGAATGAAAAGCTTGGTAATTATAGATTTACAAGTTGGAACAACAATTTCAGATCTGTTTTAGAACTGTATAAAGTGTGACTACAACAAAATGCTTTTGGGTGAAACACAATCATGACACTAAAATGAATGCTAGCACAGTTTAACTTTGAGGCAACAGTGCCCCCCTCCCCCAGTCTGCCTGGCTTCCCTGTCATACCAGAACTGAGTGAAGCAGCTGCCAGACATTAACAGCATTCACCAAAGCCTGTGTGGGCTCCAAGCACCCTCAGAACCTAGTCTACCTGCAATGCCTTTTTACACATGCGCACTCAGGGCCCTCCCAGGTCCTCTTTCCCAGAAGCACCAAAGGGTGTATAAATTTTTTTTTTTAATAAAAGTGACCCATACTTAATTCACTCTGAAGAGATCGCAACACTTCTTATCATTAGAAACTTGAAGGAAATCATCGATGCAGTGGGATTTTCTACTCAAAACTTAGGCAAAAGGAACACAGTTGTGAGTTTTATTAAGCAACACAAAGTTCACGACAATCTACTCTTGTAATCAAACCTTAAGATTTAACAAGGGGAATCTAAGTCAAAAATGAAACTCTCAGAACTTGTAGCTCAGTGGTACAGCACTTGCCTAGCATATATAAGGCCCTGGGTTTGAACCCTAGCACTGAAAAAAAAAAAAACAAAAAACTCCCTCTCAAGCTAATTTTGAAAGTTTTCTAAAAGCATTAAAAATGGACTCTGAAGTTTTACCTTATTAGTCCACTTAAACTAGAATGTAAATATAACCCACCGTCCTTAGAAAGACCCCCATCAAATCAATCGTATCTTATCAGAATTATTTAGCAACTATGTTTATCACTTCATTGAATTGGCAAAGAGGACATCTTTATTGGGTTCTGAAACCAATCTTTATTGGGTTCTGAGGTCTTTTGGTTTTTTGTCTCTTAATAAACAAACAGCAAATTTATTTACTTCAAACAGGAAACAGGCCAGTTACTTTATGAATTCATTAGACATCACCATTCCAACAGGCCTACTATTTAAGTCTTTGCAGGGTAGGATTTATTTTTCAGTCCGTGTTCTATAAACCGTAAGTTATGCCTACAGAAGTAGATTGTAAGAGTCAAATATAAATGCCAGTACAATTTAAAGATGCTATTTATCTGTGGAGACCCACCTAGACTTCCTTGAGAAAGACTCAAATACCCCGCACAATCTTTCTAGCCATTTAGATCTTGTTATTAAACTACAGACACTTTAAGGAGTAAAAAATTTTTGTTTATTAGTTAAATTATATAGCCTTAGAAAATGCCAAAGAAACTTGTAGCACACTGTTAGCGAAATGAAGCAAATCGTTTCAATCTAGGAGAAACGGCAGCCATTCTATAAATACTTTCCTACTTACTTTGCCATTGTTAATCACTCTGAATGCTGAAAACATAATTAAAGAGAAAAACAGCGTTATATAGATACACAGCATAGAGGCTAGATCACGCAGTTCTAAAAGAGAGAAGGGGAAACAATTAGCAGGTACACTACTGCCAAGGAAAAGTCAGAAAAATTAAAGCAGTGAGAAAGCAAGCATGCCAAAGGACTCTTGGGTAAATTCAGTCTGGCATCTCCAGCCCCCTAAGGTCTTAAATAAAATGTGCTCAAAACAAAACAAAACCCCAGGATTCAGAATGTCATCGTGCAGGCAGTGTGTTCCCTTCCTAACCCCTTGCTTTCTGAACTAAAAGTGCTTCCGCCTGCCTTCCATCCCTGGCTACACATCAAGGACCTTTGCTGCTCCAACAGGCCTCTGGTTCCGGTCAGAGGTCAGGAAGGACAACAGGGGCCCCTCCTATAAGTGACCTCCTTGATGTTCCTCTAATAGCAGGAGACAGGACACAGGGGTGTCTTACTTTGCAGCCATACTGAAGAGCCAGCTTGTTGAGGTTGTCCTCCTGGGCCAGCTCACGCTGCAGCAGCACCACTTCGGGCTGGTGAGGATGGTGGCCACTGTTCTTCTGCCGCTCCTTGCCCCGGGGCCGTAAAACCACGCAATGTGACTCTTCTTCAGAGGACTCCTCCGAATCCCCACTGCCATTGTGGAACATGTAAACATGGCTTCTCGGAGTTCTACAGACAGCAGCTGGGCCTTGGAAGGTCTTGGTTAACATTTCCTTCTGTCTCATTTTCTCAACTGAAAACCAAACCTCAGAGTTAATTCCACACGTCATATTCATTCCTCTATGGCTTCATGCCAGAAGTGTCTTGTTGCCAATTATTCCTTTCCCTAATTATTAGAAATACTCAACAAACACCATCATTACAAAAATCGAATATCCTCATGTTGGCTGAGATGGACAAGAGACAGAATAAAAACACTTTGTTTCTAATTGTATGCTTTTTTGTGAAAGATTCCCTATCCTTCTGCCCTACTCCTTATCCATAGCTAAGACTCCCCAAACCCACATATACAAAGAAGCAACTTTTACTTTTGGTCTCAGTAGTAAACAAGTGGTTGAGACCTTTGCAATGAGAGGTAAGCACTGTTCTCAGCGTCCTTGCACTGAGAATCTTATATTAAGAACCTCTGTACAAAAAAAGCCCTATTCGGGTGTGGTACACCGGCTTATGCCTATAATCCCAGATACTCAGGGAGCAGCTCTGGGGAGAATCCAGGTTCCAAGTGAACCCATGGGAAAAGGTGATGAGACCTCATCTCAACCAACAAGCTGGGTGTGACGTCACGTGCCCCTCAGCTGTGAGGCACAGTGTAGGACGATTAAGGTCCAGGCCAGCCCAGGAAAAAAGCAAGACCCTATCCAAAAGATAACTACAGAGAACAGGGCTGGGGGAGTGGCTCAAGTGCAAAGCACCTGCCTGAGCATCTTCATTAATTAGATCCTGACTAAGGACACACTTGCTTAGAAGGACTGGGAGGACTGGGAGACTAAAATGCTCTTATTTTGATCTTGGTCAACTTATCTAATATGGGGGGGGGGAGCGGGGAGTAGAGGAGAAAATGCCCGCCAAGCTGGTGTTTTCTCATAACAGGTTGCTTTGTATTCCTCACACCCCCACATCTATTTTCATCTTCACCTTGTGCCAAGTGCCAAATCCACAGTTCCCCACCCCCTTTTTCCCTCTTCACCCCTTTTCCCTCTCCAAATGGCTCGAGTGAGATTCCAGAAATGAAATCTCGAACACGGGGACCAACAGCATCAAATAAGGGTTGGCCTGAGCCCTTGGGAGCCCACAGGGGTGTGCGGCCCGTTCGGGGACCGCCCGCGGCCCCAGCGCGACTCCCTCCCGTCGGGGCGTTCGAGCCCAGGGGCGGCTGCAAGGGGCCTCCCGCCGCTCTCAGGCCTGTTTCGCTCAGAGACCCTTCTGTGGAAAGAGGGGGGTCCCTAAACCCGAGCAGACCAAAAAAAAAAAAACAAAACAGGAGCGCCCCGCCCCTTGCCGTAATCGGGCGGGGCCCCAACATTCTACGAAGGCACCACCTCCAACCTCTGACATCCAACCCCCTCAAGGAGACGAGGATTCGCCTAGGAGATAGGGGAATGGCAGCCTGGCCCCCGAGCCGACATGCGACAAGCGAGGCCAGGCCGCGGGTCCCCAAGCCAAGACAGCGAGCCCCCCTCCTCCAGGCCCGGATACCTCGGCTCCCAGGCTACAACGCGACCCGACCCTCTGCCGCCGCGCCTGCCGATTGGCTTCGAACATTAGGTCTTCCGGGGGCGGGCCGCTGGTACAGCCAATGAAATTAGTGGTGGGCGGGCACTGGCAGACCCAAGCGGTGCTGAGAGGTCTGTACGGGACCTGCGGTCTGAGGGCGGGTTGTAGGCGTGGCCCCGGAGGGGCGGGGCTCCAGCTCCTGTTCTTGACCTTCGCCCCGCCCGCCTGCCGCCGCTCTGCGCCCCAAGTTTTCAGGTCAGTTCTAGCAGTGGAACACTAACTCCTCCCTGGAGATAGTCACGGCTTTCTGATGAGCCTCAGCTTTCCAACCTGTAGGAGAGGACTTCGACCCTCGTGCGAGGGTGGGTCCCCAGCACGCGATGTCACCTCGGGAGAGCTCCGCCCCCAACCCCACCGCCGGGCTCCGCCTAGCTATGCGAGGCGACTTTCTGCCGCCCTGGCTGTGGTCCTGAGCATTTGAGGGCCAGGACGGAGAGGACTTTGCCCTACTCTGCTTCCCGGAATTAAAAAGTCCAGGAATGTGAAACATTGACCAAAAATAAAGAAATGAAAATTGTTTTATCAGATGTCGAATGGTGGAAGATTTCTTTCTTTCTTTCTTTTTTTTTCTTTGCTGTTCTGGGGTTTGAATTCAGGACCTCCTCTTAACGCTTGAGTCATTCCTCCAGCCCTTTTTGGTAATTATTGGGTTTTTTTTTTTTTTTTTTCGGAATAGTGTCTCCCAAACTATTTCCCGGACTGGCTCCAACCGCGATCCTCCTGATCTCTGCCTCCTGAGTAGCAAGGATTACAGGCGTGAGCCACCAGGGCCCAGCTGGTGTTCTGAAGCTTCAAAGCGATGGAGGAGCCTGGTGTGGTGGTGCACGTCTGTAATTTCTGCACTCAGGAGGATGAAGAGTTAGAAGCCAGCCTGGACTGCATAGACAGACCCTATATCAAAAAAAAAAAAGCAAACTAACCTGGGGTGGACATATGCAACAAATATGACCAAGGACAAAAATCCTTAATGGAGACAGACCACATCAAATGAGCAAGAAAAACACTTAGACCCTAAAGATAAAAGCAGGGGCTGTACATGGTGGTGTACCTCTGTAATCCCAGTTACTTGGGAGGCTTAGGTAGAAGGATCTAGGGCTGAGGCTAGCTGGGGCAAAAACAGGAAATCCTACCTGAAAAAATAACTAAAGCAAAAAGGGCTGGGAGTGTGGCTCAAGTGGTAGAGCACCTTACTGGCAAGTGCAAGGCCCTGAGTTCAAACTCCAGTACCAACAAGAAATAATAAAAAATGTACCTGAGCAGGTAACTCACCAAGTAGAAATGGTCACCACTGGGGGACAGAGAGGTGGTAAACCTCATTCACAATCAACAAAGCAAACATTAAAACAGTAAGCTCTCAGAAACTCCTTCCATGGTTGTTAGAGTAGAAATAAAAGTCTCGATCTTGGCAGGAAAACCAAGCAGGACTGTGCAGGGCTCTTTTGGCCTTCTCTGCCAATCCACCTTCTCCTCTCCTTTCATCCTCATTGCACTTCTTTTTTTTTCCTCATATTTGAAAGTGTCTTTAATAACTCAGATCCCTGGGCTAGCACAGTGAGTGCTCCCTCTGTGTTTAATCAGACATGGGTTTTTTTTTTCATAGTACTTCCTGGTTAATTGGCCTGTTTAGTTATGGAATTTTCCTGCCCACCATTTGCATCTGTTTCATTCACCATTCAACTTCTAGTACCTGGCTGTGTGTCAGCACTCAGCAGGTTCTCACTAAATAGTGGCTCAATAGGACAGATGTTATGCAACCTGATCGGGGATACATGGGAGGCAGGTGGAAGCACTCCCCTGTGTCTACTCTTGAACCCCAGCCACTGGCTACCAGCTGTAGTTTTGGCTTAGGCTGGCCTGCTAAGGCCTGGTGGGTTTAGCAAATCCAAGAGTCAGAATTTAATTATGAAGAGAGAAGTCAGAACAAAATTTGCAATGCTAGGGCTGGGTGCAGTCACTCAAGCCTGGATTCCCAGCTACTTGAGAGACAGAAATAGTAGAATCACGGTAAAAAGTTATCAGGATCCTATCTCAAAGAACAATCTGGGCATGGTGGCTCATGCTTGTAATCCCAGCTAGTTGGAGGCAAAGTAATCTGAAAAATAATTAAAAACAAAAAGGGCTGGGGACATGGCTCAAGTGGCAGAGTGCCTGCCTAGCAAGTATAAGGCTGAGTTCAAACCTCAGTATTGCCAAAAAAAAGATAAAAATTGGGAAGCTTCAATAATATAGCTGCTCCCTGATCAGTAAGGGCTGCTCCATTCATTCAGAGCAAATCCAGATTCAGTTGCTGGCAGAGTAGCTCAAGTGGTAGAGCGCCTGCCTAGCAAGCATGAGGCCTTGAGTTCAAATCCCAATACCACCAAAAAAAAAAAAAAAGCAGACCTAGTATAGAAAGGTTTTATTTCAGGGGACTATTGTGAAGTGGTAGGGAGACTGGCATGTGATGTGGGACAATTACAATAGTGACAGCACTCTGACCCTAAGGTCTGTGAACATCTCACACTTACAGAGAGCTTTTCTTTTATATGGAGGAGTAAACACAGCTAGGAAGAAAGCCATGTGGAACAGTGGGGTGACAAGGTGCAGGACCAGAAGGTAGATCAGAGAATGTCCTACCTGTAGCCAGTCTGTTGTTGAGGAAGGACTACCTGCTGGCTCAGGCTGAAGGTAAACCAAACTATATTCAGAGGCCTAGGATGAAGCCGAGAAGCTTAAAAGTTTGGTAAACCAGAATGTTGCAGCAGGCTGGGCACAAAGGCTCACACCTGTAATCCTAGCTACTTGGCAGGTAGAGATTGGGAGAATTGTGGTTTGAGGTTAGCCCGGGCAAAAAGTTCACAAGACCCCATCTCAATTGATGACTGAGCAGGGTGGTGCACACCTGTCATCCTAGCTACTCAGGGATGCCTAAGTAGGAAGATCATGGTCCAGGCAATCCCAGGGATAAAGTGAGACCCTATCTCAAAAATAAGTAAAGAAAAAGGTGGTGCAACACCTGACTAGCAAGTGTGAAACCCTGAGTTCAAAACCCCAGTACTGCAAAAAAATACAAAAGCTGTTTCCCTGTTTGAGCTTTTGTTAAGATCTTGATTGGTAGCAGCTGGAAGCCTTCCTAAATCACATACATGGGCGCAGAGATTAAGGGAGTTGCTCATGGTACCCATCACTAGTGGAGTAAAGAGACAGGACATAACCACAGACCCCTGTGACTCTGTCGCCCCTGGACTTCTGAATGCCTCTGAGCAGGAATCACTTTTACTTTCCCAGCCACCCCACCCCCAGCCAAGCAGGCCAGTGGGTCCCTCGGATTACATGTCTGTTTTCTCCCAGCTCCTGGGCTAGGCTGGCTTGTGACATGGTTTCCCAGGCCTGGAGGAGGCTGGTGAGAAGAGGTGTGAGAGAGACATGGGTGGTCCACTGGAGAGTGCCAGGGGCATGTCCTCTACAGACTAGCCCACGGCTCTGGGCCAAAGAAAGCTAAGACCAAACCTCCACTAGCAGATGTGAATACACTCGTGCCCCTCAATCCCTTGCCAAATCCTCACTATCTCCTCCCTGTGCCCAGCCTTCTAGGGGGAACTGGGGTAGGGGAGAAAAAAGGAGCAGGGCTAAGTGGTTGGCTTTGGCAAAGGGTTCCAAAGTCCAGTGCATAAGGAGTGGAGAAGAACATTGCTAAA